CCAGTCACAAGGATGGGTCTTGTCCCTCACCACCCACGCCACAGGGTGAGGGGGAGGGAGAGAGAGAGAGAGAGAGAGAGAGAGAGAGAGAAACAAAACAAACAAATTGAATGCTAAATAGCTTAAGGCTTCAGCAAATGCATATCAGTGCCGCTTCCACAAAGAGGACAGCCTGGGAGACGGAAGGCCACCCACATGACAGGGGGGTGGGGAAAGAACTGAATCGGTATGGTTTCCACCACACCAAAGGGGTGAGGAGGTCTGATTGCTTTGAGCAAAAGACAGCTTTGGGAGAAACAACACCCCTGACACCACAGGGGGACAGGGAAACATCTGACTTGGCTGAAATCATCGGGGAAAGACCGCCCTCCACACAACAGGGGGGGAGGAGGCAGATCTGCCTAACCTCAGCAAAATGTATTTCAGGTTCCTGATGTTAAAGAATTATTCTAGGGGCTGCATAGGGGCTATAGGGGTTCTTATAGGGTTATTTAGGGGTTACATAGGGGTTCTTATTGGGGGTATCATAGGGGTTAGATGCTGCAAGGTGCCAGCCATTTACCAGAATGCTGGCAAACGTGGGACCTCATGCCAGCACCATACCACTGGGTAGGGGCTGGCCAGCGCTGCACCAGATATCCCTCTGTAGGGTCCCTATAAGGACCATTTTTTGAGGAAACTCCCGTACCATAACCCAAAACCCCAAACCCTTTACCGTTGGGATCTCTGTCTGCGAACTCAAACGCTTGCCTCGCCCTCCAGACTACCGCCTCAGCTTGCGGAAAGAGTTTAGGGCTCAGGGTTGGCGAAAAAGGAGAATGGACAAGCAAATGCACAGTTCCATGCTGCGTAGGGTTTTGGGTTTGGGGCTGCAAGCAAGGACCACGTGGTTTAAGGCGGACTTGGTGGTTGTAGGTAGGGGAGGAATGGACCCTATGCCGCCTTAGCCCCTACATAGTGCCCCATAATTTATTACCAGTAGTTCCATTTTCTGTTCCAGTCCTTCGTTCCCTAGTCACAGTCCATGCAGGGCGGTCAAAAAAGTCTGTGATCCGCCAGGCAATTTTGCTCAACATGTAAGAACTAAGGACACTTGTGAAATATTCTAGAACCCTATACCCCTATAAAATCCCTATAATACACCCTATACACCTATATAATCCGTATAATTTACACCCTAGTCAGCTTACCCGGACAGTACAGGTCACACAGCAAGAGCTGATCTTTGGGTGAAATCGGTGACTTATGGCTTTGACTGCCGGCTTAACTCGCTGATCGGTTGCACGCTTAGGATTTTGGATTACGGGAATGGTGTACTAAAGCTGTTCCTAGGACGAAGCCCAAGCACCATGACCTACGGGGGGCTAGGCAAGGTAATGTTTGAAGCACAAGCATTCCTGGTAGTACGTATGCCATCTCTAGGATCGCAAGTGGCTAAAAGCAACAATTGTGATGGTCAGTTTGTTTGTTGAGCCTACACTTCCTACTAGGTGCCCACGTCCTGAATTATGAACTGGAAGAAAAAGATCTGAGCCAGGCCTCACTGTGAACCCCTGAGTCTTGCCGCTGAGTCCCGGGCTGAGGAGCTTCCCAGCTGATGCAAAGGATAGCGAGTAGACCCCTCCTTGGCTGCAAAAGCAAATTACATGCAGCCCATCCGAACGCAAAGCAGGAGGAGGTGGTGATGATGTTGGCAGCGTGGCGGTCTCTCTGCGGCGGTGGCGTTGCCACAGATAGGATGAATTGTGGCTATCACAATCCTCTTGCATTTCCTTGCGACATCTCCTGCCTCCTGCTCTAGCCCCAAGGGTCCAAGTACTTAATAACCATCTACGAACCCAAAACCTGCACTATAGTTCCTATTACCCAAATCCCAAGTACCAATTCATTGGGTACATGGACTCTCTGGGTAATTAGAAGCAGCTTCAGCACCCATAGGAATACTGCTGGTATCGCATGGGAACAACACGGACAGTCGAGAGTTTTGTCGCTGTCTTGAGCTCCCACTACCTTAACCTACCAAAACCTTTTTTTTTGTAACTTCCCTATAACAGGACCCTACAAACAAGTACGTTTGGTAGGTTAAGGTATTCCTGTGGTTGGCTTCTACCCTCGCCAAAACTGGCAAAGATGGACAGACGTGCCTCGCGCAAAAAGCGTTTAGGCTTTAAGGTCTTCTGTTTATTAGCTTTAGGAGTCGAGGGCTTGGTGTACAACAATGATGGGGATTTGGAGCTTCAAGTTGTCGACTTCAGGGTTTGGGATACTGCAGTGTTGAAGGTTTAGTAGCTAGAGTCTAGGGGCTTTCTAGGGTGAAGTAACCTTAACCCTGAACACTTAAGGGGGAAGTAGCCAATCGTTTGAGTCCAGGGCCGTCAATGCTGAGCCTGCGACCCACCCGGCTTCGGATGATGACGGAGGGTGGCGTACTCCTCAGCTGTCCCTATATACATACATGCATACCTACCTGCCTACATACCGACGTGTATGTTACCCAAAATACAACACTCCTTACTTGAGATATTCGAAAAGGGGTCCCTAAATGTTGGACACCTTCCGCATCCTGGATCAGCGGTGTGAAGGCCAGAGCAACATGCGCGTTGCAAGGTCTGAACGCCTGGCTAGATCAAGCTCTTCACAAAGATTTTCCACACGAGCCCTCATGTGGGTCTGGGGTGCATTTCTGAAAGGCTGTTTCACCCGAAGCGCAAAGCAAGATCATGTTGAATCTATGTGGGGAAGCCCGTGCCTCAGACCCCATGTACCAAGCGTTGCTCATGAGCAATGAAATAACCATCGAAAGCTTTACAACAGCAAAGGACTCTTGGCGCATAGGCCCTAGACCGGAAACCCTACGCTGAACCCGATCCAAAGCGAACGATCTTAGAGGGAGCCCCTCTCCAAAGGCTCTCAGGCATGCGCGTCATGGCCGCGGCCAGCGGGCATGCCCATCATTGAAGTAGCCATAGGCTAGGCTCGGCACGTAATCATATGCAAGCTGGCTATGACTACATGTGGCCTGAGTCGCGGGCTCGTAGCATTGATGGTGAATCTTATCCAAGACCCTAAGCCCGAAAGAACAATCTGGCGGGGGGGGGGTGCTTCTCACATCTTCACACTAACTTGACAGCTATTACTTCTTCGTCTCTTCCGTTCGCAGTAGTACGACGACTATTGCGCTCACCCACACCTCCGGCCATGCAGTATGTCTTGGGCCGGGTGGGGGGGTTTAATATGAGATGGAGGGGATTCATCTCCAAGCTGCCAAGCATGTCGGCTAGAAGTCCTCGAGGCAACTAGTTCACCAACAAAATTGAGATCCCCTGCTAGAAATGGAATCCCTTTCATTGGGTTCCCAGAATGAAGATTAGAGTATATTAAATATACGGGGGTGCTTTTTTTGTTAGGGCTCCCTATTTGCTGGAATTCCCAAAGTGCATCTTGCCCGCGGTGTCCCTGTCAGCAAACGCTGCGGCAAAAGCTACATGGCTGCGTCTCCTGAAGCATTCAGCACGACAAGCATAATCATAAAACATGGCGATGAATCGAACAATGCTCCTGCGCGGATTCCTTCGCTCCACTTTCTACATCACCATACCTGCAAACATATTTCCAGAGCGCCAAAAATCAGATCAGCCGCCAAAAGGAGGCCCTCACTGAACCCAACCGGCCTCAACGCAGACATGAGAATCTTATAGAGGCGCTCTGCGATGTCATCTGCATTCCGAAGAGAACACCATGCAGTAGAACTTGGGAAGGAAGCTCATGGCAGGCTACCCCATGACCAGGGAGCTTGTCGAAACAAAAAAACGGTTTGAAGTGTTAACCACGAAGGCACTCTCTCCAACACACCAGCCACAATATCAAGTCTTTCCTCGTTTCTAGCCAGCAGCTTAACGTGTGACTGCATTGTGTCTGGGATATGAGGCGCAAGGCCCCCATCTTAGATACGCTTCTTTGGTCAGGATTCTTCTCAGGGCCCCCAGAAGGTACTCTGTTGAAGGATCTAAGTAAATGACCCAAAATCAAAACAACCAGAATCATATGCAGCAATAACTACTATGCACAATGCGACTGTACAAGAAAACACTGACAATAAACAATACTTACTGGTGGTTGGTAACTCGGGAATAAGGTCTCTGATCCCTACATAATGCCTATGCAATATATTGTTCCCTATATCGTTCCCTTATTCCCCAGTATCCACCCCCAAAAAACCCTAAACCCTATAAACCCCCCTCCTACACCCTAAACCCTAAGCCCTATAAAGCCTAAATCCTATAAACCCCCCTCTACACCCTAAACCCTAAGCCCTGTAAAGCCTAAATCCTATAACCCCCCCCCTCTCTACACCCTAAACCCTAAGCCCTATAAACCCTAAATCCTATAAAACCCCCCTCTACACCCTAAACCCTAAGCCCTATAAACCCTTAATCCTAAACCCTATTGAAAATTACAATCAAACCTTTTTGTCCTTGGGCATCCGTCAGCTTAGAGCCCTTCGGAGCGGCAGTTTCTCAAAGAAGGTGTGCCCTGGAAACTCCAAATACACGTATACATTATTGTATTTGTTGTGAAATAAGCAGATATATGTATATAAATATATCGATTGAAATCCAAGGTTTAGGCTTCGGGCTTGGGGATTGGCATTTGGGGAGTCATTATCAGGAATTATAGAGGGTGAATATTCTGAGAAACTCCCATGTGGCAGTGGGAAAAGTCATTGTCCATGCCACCATCACTTTTCAGCACCTGGCGGAAGGGCTTGTCTTTAGGAAGTGGATACTATATAGAAACGTTAGTGCATTTCTTGGTAGACCTTCATTCTCAGGGTTATCGTCGCTCGCCCAAACATCACATTAGCGTGCGATCATTGATCCTCACCCCTGCCTTTCACCCTGAAAAGCGTGCCAGCTCGACCTTCCATGCAGTCCATGCACCATCGCGTCCTCACAGTCTCAGCCTTTTTCTGGACTTGTAAGATACGGCGAATTTGAAACTCATAGGCACCCTTTGCCGATGTGGAGGCAGCACCAATGCTTCTTGGGGCCTGACCAACCAAGCTTCCAGCTGGCATACCCCGCATTGCAATCAAAGGCAGGAGCACCCGCCATTTGCTGCTGGACCCAGTGCGAGGAACCCCCTGCCTGGCTCCAGTGCCACATCATGCCTGCTGCGGCAACTCCGGGCGGGTGCCCAGCCCCTGCGGCACCTCCACCGCCAGCCGCACCTGCCCCAACTGCCCCACCACCTGCCCCACCTGCCCCGCCTGCCCCGGCATGAGTGACGTAGGTCACCGTGTGGTGGGTGACGTATGTGCCACCATCACCCCCTCCCCCACCGCAGCCCAAGTGCATGTGTGAGCAGCACCAACCCTTCTTGCCTTGAGACCAGCCGTACTGGAAGTTGCCAAGGCCGGCATGGCAATCGTAGGGCAAGCTGGCTGGGGGACCACCACTGCCATGAACGGCAATCCATGTCCAATAGCCATTAACCTGCACTCGCTTCCAAACCATGCCGAAGCCGGGATCTACATGCGGCGGAGTGGTTCCCTCACAACCCTTGCCCTGTTGCGTACAGCACCATTGCTTCTTTGCTGGCGACCAAGCACGGAAGAAGTTGTTCAAAGCCGCGTTGCAGTCGAAGGCAGGTGATGTGTCCACGTGCACTGTGCAGCCTGCATCCTCTATGCTGCAAGCACGACAGACGTCGCAATCCACTTGCACCTGGCTATAGGCCAAGGCGCAAGCGTTTCCCCTCCCTTTGAACAAGTGCTCCTCAGCCCATGTCAAGCGATCCGCACAGGTGGCGGTGTGGCCTTTATGGGTGCAAGGTGCATCGCACTTCAATGGGGAGTATGTGGTCTTTGGACAGCCCTTCTGAAAGTGGCTACAGCACCAGTCGCGCTTGGCATGGGTCCAATCAGAGACCTCCCCATCGCAATGGTGAGGGACGCAGCCCCTGTGCTCCTTCCTACAACACCAAGCCTTCTTGGAGTCCGACCAACCCTGCATCCAATTTGAGAAGCCAGCGTTGCAGTCGTAGATGTGGCCATGGGCATGCCCGACATGGGTGGTGACGTGGGTGACCAAGTGCATGTGTCCTTTCCAGGTGCCAGGACACCCTTTGTTTTCATGGTCGCAGCACCAGACTTTTTTGGGCTTGGACCAGCCAAAGTACCAGTTGGAGTAACCAGCTGCGCAATCGAAGTGCCGGTGGTGCACCGTCACGATAGTCTTCTCGTTGATGATCTTTGGGGGTGCTGGCACAGGTATCGGGACCCTCTTTTCGATAACATGCGGCTTGCCAGGTGTGGGGACGTCGATGTACTTGTACTTCTTCACCGTATGGTATCGATAGCGGGGAGGACCGCGCACCATGACCTTGATTGGTTTGGAGGGCACTGGATAAGGTACATACTTGGGCACTGTGAAGCTTTCATCCTCAGAGGGTTTGACGTGGATGTACTCCGGCACCAATTTCATGTGCGTCACCGTGACGTACTTGTCATGGTTCACCACTTTCACCTGACAGGCTCTCCTGCGCAAGTAACAGCAGAAACGCTGATGCCGAAGTGGCCAATTCTTCTTCCAGTCATCAAAGCCTTCGTCACAGTCATATGGCTGTTTGCGTGGCTTGACGACAGTGTGATAAACAACCTTCGGCACTGGATATGGCGTTTTGACATAGACCTTTTGGGGCACCCGGTGAATGCGGGTGACATAGTGATACTCCGTGATGCTGTGGACGGCTGGAGTTGTAGTGTGGTCATGGTGCACTTCGCAGCCAATGTACACTTGGGTGCAGCAAAACGCCTTTTTCCTCGGTTGCGTGGGGCTTCATGACAGGCAGAACCACTGCAACTGCGAGAGCCAATGGACAAAGCTGATGCAGATAACAGGAACACAGGCAACAATGATGACATGAGAGCTCATGAACATGACGAGAAAGCAGCTGATTTTGTACTATCTGTCTCATTTTCACCCCATCATATTCAGCATTAAAAGATGTTCTTTCTACCCTGTATGGTGGACAGCCAAGAATGTTAGGGGCCTGCTGAAACTCTGAGGGGAGGAGGGCTTGCTCTTGACCACCCCTTGCTTCCAAGCTTCGCGTTTGTCCATGACGTTTCCCATGTGGCCTCGGCTGTGCCACAAACGCAGCAAGTATATAGAAGCCCTCTGGTTTTAGCTCATGGTCTCCCCTCATGGATAACCCGTTTAAACAGTCGCCAGAAAACCGCATTCAAATGCCGCTTCGAATGAGGTGGTCTTCCCAATCCGAGACCTGTCGTAAGCTGAGGCAAACCGCCTCAAAGGTATTTGCCGCCCTAGGCCCCCAAGCGCTTCAAACAACAACATCAAAAAGAGGGACAAACTACCCACGCATCGCTGCGCCTATGTGCCATGGAGGGTTCTGGCAGAGGCCTTTTGAGGTCCATCTATGGAGGTCGATTATAACATCTAGTCATCGTTTCAGGAGGAAGGGATTTCGCCGGACAAGAATTCTGACTCTTAGCCATGGTAAGTAAACGTTCAGGGTTTAGGTAAGGGTTCCTATACACAGCTGTTGCTGTTACCAAGTGCGGCCTGGTGTCCACGGTCAAGGTGCAATCGTGCGCAAAGTCCATGGATGGAATAGATACGTCCTGGTGGTACCGGGGGCTTTTGCGCTTTGAAACTTAGGATGGTACAGCGCGCGCTGAATCTCCGTGCCTTCTAGTTGCTTCCATATTCGCAAATCAGGGTATAGACTCCATGTGAGGGGTGCTGGGGGTTCAAGGTCCTGAGACTCTCAGCCAATTTGAAGGCATCTAGGCTTACCAGCGCTTCTGAACTTGTTGCAACCGTGGTAAAGTGGCACTCTGCTGATTGACCGTAATCCCAGGGAAACATGCCAATGTGGAGAAGCTGCGGAAGGAATCTGGCAAATCCTAGTGTTCAGTAGCAAGGCCTCATTATGCGAAGGTGTGGATACCCCGTTACTGATTACCCCGCTACTGATTACTATCTTATCTTCATCCTTATGATACTACCACCCAAAAACCCAAAACCCTGCCATATATCATATTACATCTTCTATTTGATTGTCCCGCGCAGCAGCACGGGTTTAGCCCTGAGACCTCCCAGCCGCACCTTCACAAAGCAGTTGACAAATTATGCGGCAGCAGTTTCCAGGGAGTGCCCACGCAAATCACCAAAAGTACCAGAAGATTTGCCTGGTCAAGATTTCAGGCTCCCAGATTACGCAGATGCCGTGAAGTCCATGATTCTGGTCTTCTCGTCGTCATCAAGATTTGGAACTCGGGCTTGTTGTTGACGATAGCGGTGCAGGAACTTGCTGCTTCACGGTATTGCGGGATCACGTGTCATCTGCAAAACAAATCGAAGGGGGATCTGAAGTGAGTGTTCTCCTTCCTTCGCTCTCTGGCTTCAACAAAAAGAGAATCCTGAGCCCTACCCTTCAAACCTCAAAAGGAAGGGATCGTTTTAGTTCAATCCCCTAGCTGAACAATGGTCAGCCAACAAAATATCCTTCACCTCCCTCGCTCTGCCGCCAGAATTAAGCAAATGACATACTCACGTAATCCGTGCATATAATCCCTAAGACTCTGAACATAATCTCTTAAAGGTCTACCAATTTTGGGTCGACCTGTAACAACATGTAGGACCTCAAAATGGAGAAACAGATATGGCTCAGCTACAATTTGATCTCCGCACTGTAAGGGCCAATATAGTGACCAAGATTATTTTGGAGTGGATTTGGGCTACCCAATGCCGTCATTACACAAGGACCTTACCTTAAGACCATAGCATTGGTAGTCATTCAGGCTTCTACAGTGCCCGCCGCAGGTCCTCGTGACGGAAGAAGGGACGTAGAATCAGGAAGAGCGCGAGGAAGAGGGCGATCCCAATGGCAACAAGACAACCTCGGCTAAGGTTTAGGGTGCTATTTGAAGGTCCCACAGCTGAGGCTTTGGGGCTCAGCGTTGAGGGGTTAGGGCGCAAGTTTACGTAAGGTTTTGAATTAGGAGTTTAGGTTTAGGGTTTAGGGCTGCTGAGCTATTAGCTCGGCAAGCGCATGCGAGCATATTGGAGTATCGTGCGTACCTGACAACGGCCAAAGCATGGCCTCTGTCTCCTTTCATATTGAAGGAATGAGCCAAGGGAAAGAAAAGCATTGACTTTCAACGGCTACATGTCCTGATCGCTTCGTCAGAACCCGTGTGTGCAGGTTCTTGCAAAGCCCCGGTATACCGCTACAGAGGTTCCGAAAACTTTTCGAAACAGCACTGCTTTGGCGTCTAAGATACTGGGAAATTGGACAATTTGGCTGCCTGTTGCGACGGCGTGTTGTGCAATATTCAATGTCAATGGGGTCCCAAAACCAAGAACTTTACCCCATTTATGCACCCTGAGCCCTGAATGCCGAAGCGCGTAAATGCTGAAGCGCACGCCTACGCTAAACAAGTAAGACCCGAATGTTGTGCATGTCCAACCCTGCATGCCTGCAAGACTTAAACCCTGGACCCTATACATTCTGATCCCACCCCCGGCCCTCAACCTTGAACACTTAAACCCAACTGGTGCAATGCTCGACTCCGGACACTAAACACCAAGTCCTTTTTTTCCTTCAAAACCTCCGGACCTAGAACAAAACAACTCTGAAACTACATCGCCAAACCCTGAACCACACAACCTTAACCTCAAACTCCAAAGCCTAAACCCAAACCCCAAAACCTGGTATGACAGTTTCTTTGCCAGGCCGCAGGTTCGGCAACGGAATGAAGAGTAAGTCACTCCCTTTTTTGTAGGCTTTGGGTGCAGTGTAGTGCTTGGGTTGGGGGATTCGGATTGAAGGATTCGAGCCATGGAGCCAAGGTTTGCGGATTTCCCAGAATTAGAGGTACCTGTTTGGGGGTTCCCATAATAAGGACTATGAGATATTAGGGTATCCATTAGTTAGGAGCCCCCTATCCATGGAAAGCCCCATTTAGGAATGTCGAGTTTGGGCCTTGGGGCTCAAGGATTCAGAGCATTGGATTGATATGGGGGTTACAAGATGCAACGCAGTGAATCAAGTACGCCTTCATTGTGGCGTATGCCCATACTCACTCTTGGGCATATGGTGTGAGGAATGCTCTTCAACTCATGCTAGCTTGAGCTTACTCTACGAATTAAACCCTAAACCCTAGATTTCAAAAACATTTCCTCAGACTTCTTACGCTGTTGAAGGTATTTGTGCTAATCGAGGGGTATGGAAGCCTTTGGTGCGTCACGCGATTGGACTAAACTCGTGGAAGGGCAGGTATAATAGGAATCCGGAGACTCTCTTCCTGAGAACGCCTCCTCAAACGACTTTCTCCTTTATCTCAACATTGCTAGGTGGTCCCTAAACCCTAATTAAACCGTAGACCCTAGTTTTTTGAAGGGAGACCTTGAAACCCCCACTGGCCCTTTGACCCTAGGGTCCAAAACTCAAAAAAGCCACCACAGAATTCGAGTCAGAGGGTTTCTGGCAACTGCACACTAGCGCAGAGCCAACATGGACGCCAACAAAGTGTCTACAAGATGTGTTGATGAGGGGGAACTTACACCAGAAGCTACTGTAAACCCAAAACCCTGTACCCTAAAGCCTAAACCCTAAATAGTAGTTTCCATTTTCTTTTCCATTATCTTTATGTAACTCTAATATAACCCCAACATACTATAGTAGTTTCCATTTTCTTTTCCATTATCCCTATATTCTCCCAATTGTCGTACCTACCCTACACAACACCTTTTCAAGGTCTGCTCAGATCCAGTGAGCCTGAGCCCTCCCCGGGGGATGGGATCCAAGTTTGAGGCTCACCCAGAGGGTGCATGTACCCAATAATTGGGCCCCTTTAAGGGGGATACCTAGGGATATATCTAGGGGTATATAATGTTTAGGGATGAGGTTCCACGTACCCAATAATCAGGTACTTGGGATTTAGGCAATAGTATTCATAGTACAGATTTTGGGTGATAAGTATCTGCTTATTAGGTACTTGGACCCATAGGGTTATGGAGATTGGGGTGAACATGTGAGCCTCAGTAATTGGAACCGAAATTTTGAGCCTACTACATTTCTTACTGCAGGAATACATGTTCTTTTGGGCACGCCTCAATGCTGAACACTGTGCTTTGAAACCTACATCCTGAATTTGACCCCTAAGATACAGTTCAGAGAACTGCGTTTATGAAACCATGTGTCCGTAAACCCTAATGTAGAAGTTCGTCAACGCTGCACCTAAACCCTGAATTTCTCTGAATCTATTCTCATCCCAGCCCTGAACCTAAAGCAGAAAATGGGGTCTTTTGCCTCGTGCTTCTCATAGGCTCCGCGTCCCGACCCCACGAAATGGACCTGTGCCACAGCTCGCTTCATGATATCAATAACCGGAAACCCATCCCCCTCCCATAAAACAGTTCTACGAAAAAACGTTTCCCCCCGTTCTTGTTGCTTTAGCTTGCGTGAGGGGGTATTGAGCATGTACTTGGAGAATTTCTTGATGAGGAGTGAGTGCCTTGTGCAATAGGACAGGGGATTAACTGGGATTCCCAGTAGGTAGGTACAGGCGAACTAGAACCAGTAAAACCCTTTAGTCTGGTGTACAGGCAGTACTATAGATAACAGAAGCTACTCTAATCTTTTGTAAGATGCCTGACTAGTCCTTGAAACTCTGACCCCTTGGAAAAACAGCTTACACGGATAGTTTGTTGAAGCGGTCCAAGCTGGGTATCCCAATTTCAATTTCCAGACAGAACCCTTAGCCCTTGCGGGGGCTGTCCGGTTTTAATCAATTCGCCTACTACCGTGGCAAACTAAACGGCTATGTCGTAGGGCCCCTTAACAACAAACTGCTATATGACAGGGCGTTGTTGGGAGGAGGTTGAAAGAGGCAACAAATATCAAACATCTCTGTCAAGCTATACCGATAATTGAACTATGAGGCCACAGTGACCCCCTGGGAAATGCAGAAACAAACTTGCTGGTGCTTAAGCAGCAGTGGGGGAGTGAATTAAAGCATTACGGACATTGTACCTGGATTATCATGGGGATCCACTCCCCCAATCCCTGGTAGCAGTGGCTTTCGTTTGACAAGCACCAGCGAGCAAATCACTCACCTAAGAATCTTGTCTCCGCAAGTGACCCCTCAACCAAACTGCAAACTTGAATGCAACACATCAGAATGAGCTGAGACAGAAAAAACAAAAACACTGGAGACTGGATTCCAACTGAGGAAGGCCTGGACATCTGAGCCTTAAACCCTCAAAGCGAAATTGCGAAATTAGCTCATGGTTGTTACTTACTGAGGGTCCCACTCTTCCTAATTTTCCATCAAAACTTCAAATCAGGCGCCCACCCAAACCTTAAATAATTGCCACAAACCTCACCTCTAGCAAGGAATCAAGGAATTTACGCGTATAGCACTCCCTATAACATCCCTCCATGTCATTCTCCATGTTCTTTTCACTTTCCGTTTGATACTCCATTGTTCGTGCAAGATCCTATATACCCCCAGGAGTTGGGTGATTCCCCGTACAGTACCAGTTCCCACAATGGGTAGTAGGATTTATACTAGCCCCTTCGTAAAACCCGTTACGTTGAATTAATGACCTAACCCAGAGATGAACGAGTCGTGTTTTCTTGGTGGTTGAACCTAGCAAGGTTATATGCCTTCTATAAACACTTTACCCAAAAGGATACAATCTTACCTTATATACCCTAAACCCTAAACAAAATTCAAAACAGCTGTCAACCGAGCCTTTGTCACAGGGTCATAGGAGCCTTGGCCCTCCCCAACAAAGCGCCAATGTTCCCCGCTCTTGGAGCCGGTAGCCACGTCAGGCTCGAAACACATCGCTCCTTGCTGATGTCATACTGATGTCAAATACCGCCCCAGACCGAATACCGAACCGGTCCCGACACACAACAAATCTCTTATGGGTAATATCTAGTCTTGGCAGTGGGGAATTTTGAATACTAGTATCAAGGGGTTAATAAAGACTGGCGGAGTGCGCCCCATAGTAATCCCTCGAACACATTCCTTCATTCCCTGCTTTTATCGGATCCGGCATAACAGTAAATCTTGCTCAACCGAGTTGTTCTATAATAGGGGACAGAGTGAAAGTGGGGGTGCAGGGGCTTAACAGTACTATGATGGGACGAATTACTGGGAATACTTGATGTCATACAAACATACTTGCAAGGCCTCACAAATGTCCAGATGTGCAGCGACCAAACACAGTTTCTGCTTGGCAAAAAGCTTCACCGGTAACATCTAAACTTTCCACAGCAATGAACCCGACGACCCCAACAGAATTGAGGGGAATTGTCTTTGCGACTTTGGGGGAGTCTCAGGCCAGGGTTTTGCCTAACTGTTGGGTTTCATGTGAATATAAAATCGAGATCGAAGCCGGGCCAAGATTCCGCAACCGGAATGCATGAACTCGGAATGCGTCCACCCATCGTTGCAAGATGTCCCGCCCGTCCTTAGTTGCTCAAGCCCTTAAAAATATGTCCGCCTTCCTTTTGACTCTATTCTTCTCCATCCAGCATTCTGCAAAACCCTGTCTATACTCTATTATGATATAGTAGTTTCCATTTTCTTTTCCATTATCCCTACATATTCTATCTACTTAAGGGGGACTATAACCGTACACATTGTTTCAACAACTTACACGCGGCTGCCTGGCTTGAAAAGGCACTCGCAATTACATAGGCCACAAGACAGAGGGTGTTTCCTGATAGCCATTACCCAACCCAAAGGCCGTCTTAATCTTAGAACTCCTTAGACTCATTAACCCCTTGACCCCAAAGAACAGGTAGGTTGCTACCCGCAAGTCCCAAATTAGATCTCAAACACTTTCAGACTCTTCTTTACAGGAGACTCCTCCATTATACCTCTGTTGTACCTCTATATCCCTAAACCCTACACCCGTAATCCCCTAAATCCGAAGTCCCAAGGCCAAGGGGCAACCCAATTTCAGTCCAAGCCTCGCCCAGCCACCGCCCGTGGGACAAACTGAGCTTCCTCGGGAGCTGACTAATCTTGGAACTACGGAACCGTAAAACTTTGGGTGCCTGCAATGTAAAGGGTGAGTGCCTGCAATGTAAAGGGTCCATGGGTCTTTGCTTTTTCATGGCTCCCAAGTTTTCTCCAACTCTACTGTTCATACCTGCACTCCGCAAGCAACTGCCAGTCTTTTCTGTATAACCACTCTGAGGCGTTCTCCAAGTGGGATTGCTATGGATAGCATTTAAAACAATGAGTCTAATAGGAACCGGACAGGTCTTGCATTGCGGTGCCTGAATCCAACTCCACCTGAAGGACGCCTTAGATGAAGCGAGAAGAAGGGTTTAGGGCTCAAGGTTTAGGGTCATTAAATTTGCCTCTTCTGACATACACTCTACTAGGATCCGCCAATGTGGTAATGTTTTCTGAGCACGCTCTGCAATGTGAACATTACACCCTAAACCCCAAACCCTAAACACCATCAACCCATTTTAAGTTAACCCGAAACATGCTAAACCCCATACCATGACACCCTTGGGTTTAACAACCGTACAAAGCTAGAAATCCCAAATTCCTACACCCTCTTCCCTAAACCTTACACCCTAATCCCTCAACCCTAAGCCCTAAACCCTCTTCCCTAGGCCCTAAACCCTGAACGCTACTGGTTCTGAATCCCAGGAGGCGAGGCCTCCGGCAGCTGCACCTCCACCTTCCTTAGCTGCATCTGAAGACCAGACTTTGGGTTTAGGGTTTAGGGATTAGGGTTTAGGGTTTAAGGTTTAGGGTTTAAGGTTTAGGAATTTGAGGTTTAAGGTTTAGGCTTCAGGGTTTAGGGTAGGGCTTGATTTTTTGGTTCTTAGTAGGGAATAAGGGAACATATTATCTAGGAATTATATGGGCATGACGTTCCCGTATATATTCTCTAATTACTGAGAACCATCAAGGTTTGAAGGGTTTAGAGCTTGAGGCTTAGAGTCTAAGGTTTAAGGACTAGAGTGAAGGCTTAGGTTTCACGTGTTTACGGCTTAAGGCGAGTACTGCTCTTGGTGTTTGAGCCAAAGAAGATTCAACTCTTCTTCAATGTACTATGAACGAAAGGAGGACGTAATCTTACTCTCTTTTGGGGACATCCTTACCCCCTACTGATGATCACACCCTACCTCTACCAGGATTTCTAAAGCGCAGAAGTCCTTTCGAGGCATAGCTATCACATAGATTGTCGTGTTTGTTGGATAGATTCGGGGCCCTTTCTCTGAAAATGCCTTCATAGTCTTTGGATTGGGCTTGGCGCTTGGCCCAACAGAAGTCGGCGTCGCACTAAGTTTTCTATCATGAAGACGTCGGCTTCATACCATCTACAACAATACAACCAGCAGGCACCTTGACGCTTCAAAATCTCCTTAGTGTGCGGTACACTGGCACAGATGAGCTATAGTCTAAACTCCTAGTATCCCCCCCGAATAACCTCTAAAGTAATCCCCTATTAAATCCCTACATAACCACCCTTTGAGGAATTTAGACTATAGCAGATGGCCTCTTTCGAAAGCACAAGAGAGGCTTCAAATCCCCAATCCCTAAGCCGACTTTGGGCTGCTTTTAAGGGATTAGGGTTTAGGGTCTAAGTTGCCAAGGGTAGGAAAGCCCTGGTATTTCCTATGTATCCATATTATGGTAACTTAGTTTCTGTAACAACTCAGGGGGATCAAGAGATACGTGATGGCGTAGACCCTGCACCCTCACATCCGCACACACCCTTTCTGGGTTTAGGGTCTAGGGTGTAACCCCAATTGCCTACAGCATAGTGCCCAACACCTGAGGGCGAACATGGTTTTAGGGGTTTAGGGTTGCAGGTAGGCTCCAAACCAAAGCCCTAATTAAGCCCAAACCCTACACCTCAACCTCTAAACCTCAAGAATCCTAATCCCTAAGCCCTAAAAGCTCTATAGGCCCTAGACCTTAAATCCCCTGAAATCCCTTAACCCTTAATCCATAAACTCGGAAACCTTAGCTTTGCCACAGCTTCAATCACGGCCCCGCCCCCTGCGACTTGCGCATCGGATTTGATGGCCGCTCCGCTGGTGCCGGTTACGCCTGGGGCGCAGTAGCAAGGGTCTTTATTTGGTGGAGGAGCTTTCACCGCCCTAAACGCTCATGGACAAAAACCGTTTAGGGTTTATAGGGTATTGGGCAGCTGCAAGGGCCCCTTGACGGGGACTGCAGAGGATTCGTTGTTTCCCCTAACGGCACGACAAACTCAAGTCCTCGAACCGTTCGAAAAAAGTGGGAACAGCTTGACAACTAAGACGCTGCATACATGTACCTGTAGGTCCGCCAAGGCCTTGGCCTCAGTGGAAGGCCTGGGGTCGGGTTTCAGGTTCGCGTCATTCAGGTGGAACCCCCCCCCCCTCCCACCCCCCCTCCCCCACCTCCTTTTGTGTCCTCAGATGATTCAGCCAATGGGCCCCAGCCGAAGGTTTGGATCAGCTTTTCAAAAAACACCGCTTCAATCTGCTGTATTTGCAGTAGGGTTCCACGCTTCCAAGGGTTTCCAGGCTGTTCAGGGGCCTTTCAACTGACCCGAAAAACTCCCTAAGAATGTGACAGGACCCAAATAGTAGGGTTTTAGGGCCCAAATACTATTAACATTATAGTATCTGGGCCCTATAGCCCTATTATGTGGGTCCTATATACCCTTAAGTGGTCCGCGTATATCCCTATATATCCCCATATAAACCCTTTAAAGGGACCCTTTTATTTGGGTCCTTGGACCCTTAGGGAATTGGTTGCGCAAGGCGACCCGAACCGAAGGCCACTTCCTGTGCCCTGCGTCGCTTGAGCCAGGCCTTGGTGGTTTGCCGTAGCGTTAAGATTATAGTCCCCCCTAAGTAAATATTATATAAGGTTTAGGGTTAAGCGTTTAGGGGTTTAGAGTCCCCCTTCAGTAGATAGAATATAGGGTCTAGGGTTTAGCGTTTAGGGGCTTATAGTCCCCCTTAAGTAGATAGAATATGGAGTATATGATAGGGCATGTATTGGGGTAATAATCCCCCTTAATAGATCGAGTAGATCGAATATGAAGTATATGGGGATCTTATTATAACATACCCAAAGCAATATTCTGTCTACTTAAGGGGGACTATACGATTATCCCCTCCCCTGAATATTTGTGCCCCCACCCCCTCTACCCCAATATTAAATATGACCAATAATATACTATAATGTACCAAAATGGGGAACATTTAATATTTGGGGGGGCGGGGGAGGGGGATTGACGCAGCCTAAACCGAATGTTTATGAAATCACTTAAACCCCCTCCCCCCACACCGATTCAAACTGATCCTTGGCATCATTTTATGAGTAAGGACTACATGTTCAAGCAGAAGGGAGCGTCCCAGACATGACTTCGAAAGGAGAAGTGGCACTTGTATGTTGACTTTTTCTCAAAGCTGTGGCGGATAATCTCTACATCTCCCAACACGCTGTTTGGTACGAGCTTTCAGGAAATACTCGCTGAAGTCTTAAGTAATAAACCGTGGCTCGGGAACTGTTAGCCTAGCCATCAACTTCCAAGCACATTGCTTTTTGCGTCTTGCTTATGTTCTATAGGACCCTCAGGATGTTACTGCACTGGAGGGCTTAAGCGGCCACCAAAACCCGAGGCACAACTCTGGATTTGATGTAGAGGCCTCAAATAAAAATATCAAGTTGAGGTCTGTTTGAAGTATTCTCTACTTTATAGCTATACACCTAGCCTAAGACCGTCATATTGACAATTATTTGAACCATTGTCCAAACTCCTAGTATACCCCTTAGTAACCCTTATAATGCTTATAATGGTGCCCTACATACTCCCATATATCACACGCTTTGAGGAGTTTATACTATAGCTTATTTAGCCCCTGATTTAGATTAGGGTTGTTGAGTTGGCGCCTCTGGCTTCTGCGGCCGCCGGCGCCATCCTCCTCGGCTGGCTGTAGGGATAGGTTAGGTGGACCCCCCACCCAGTAATGGTGACTATAGGGGATAATGGGGAGTATACTAAGGTCCTCTTATATTCCTATTATACCACTATTACAGGGTGTGGGGTCCTCCTACGGGATAGGTTTTGACGTTTCAGGTTTTGGGGTTTAGGATTCAGAGCTTAGAGTTCAGGTTTAAGGGTTTTGAGGTTTAGGATACAGGGCTCAGAGTTCAGGGTTAAGGGTTTGGGGATTTAGGCTTTAGGGCTTAGAGTTCAAGGTTAGGGCAGTTAGGCGTTTTGGGGTTTGGGGGTTTAGGACTGATTGGGCGTAGAGTTCAGGGTTGAGGGTTTTCGAGGGTTTAGGATTCAGGGCGTGGCTTTCGGGGTTTGAGGGTTGGGTCCGGTGTTTAAGAAGTTTCTTAGACCCTGAGGCTTGGAACCCCTGGCTTGGACACTGTTGCTTTGGGAGCTGCTCTTGTAGAAGACCATAGTACCTGCAGGTCTATATACGCATGGCAAGATTTTCATATCCGTTTTGGCTGATACCTTGTTGGGGGCCGACTTCTAACCCTAAACCCTAAAACCCTAAACCCTAAAACCCTAAACCCTAAAACCCCAAAACCCCAAACCCTAAACCCTGAAACCTAAACCCCAAACACTAAAGCCGACACTCAGACCTGACTCAACTCGGCTGGGCAGCTGGAGGGACCGAAAAATCTTTCCACGTCCTGTCCCTTCCGCTGAGAGAGGAGCCGGCGACGGTGTGGGGCGATTCTAGGGGGAGGGGCAGGCGCATGAAACAGTGCAACTTTCCATTCAGGCAATTCAAAATCCGACCAAATCTCCTCACATGACCTCCGTGGACAGCACAACAGCACCTGAAACCCAACAGAACGTCTAGTCTACTTACACTGCAGGACCGCCGTAACACCATGCTTGAAAGCCCGTAGAGCCCCTTTGAAGCCGTTGGACCATGCTATGTGATGTCTTGAGGGGTCCCAGTTTGGGTTCACAGCCCTCGCACTCACAGCAGTATGGCCCTCTTCCAGTTGAGACTTCAGACACCAGCGAACGTCAAACTTTTTCAGCGCAGGCATTGACAAGAGTAGCAGGTTGAGCCTGGTGTGTGGAACTGCTCATATCATCGGGCTGCCTTGAGCAAGGATAGTCGGGCTCAGGGTCCATCCAAAGGGTCCATGTGCCCAATAACGAAGTACTTGGGTTTTGGGTAACAGTAATTATGGTACAGGTTTTGGGCAAGTATATGATTATTAAGTACTTGGACCCTTAGGGCCAG